CACATCAAATAAAATAAAAAGTGTTGAAAATGTTAAATAGCTCAAAACATGAGAAAATACAGCAGTCCATTTTGGTATGTAGTGTACAAGGCTGCTCACACAGAACGTGCCCTCGATCCATTTGTTTTTAATTATTATCTTATGTAACATATGCTAAACTGATCTCTTTACCAGCTGCGGTGCATCTCACTGTCTTTTCAGCATCTTCTGCCATGCTTATAATGTTACGTCATACATAAAAGAGCGCGTTTTTAAGAACCCTGTGATTTGTGCCATTGCGTTTTGCTCAGTAAAACTGTTTAAAAAAGGTATTGGGATACCCTACTTGAGGATCCATCGGTCGGTCAATTATATGATGGAATATTGTGTGGACTGGACTGGGTTTGCAAGGCCAAATTGTTGTCTTGTGTAGAGGAGAATTCCCCAGTAAGATGTGATCCATTATAAATGCAGTATAATGGATTTCCGTGTATTGACCATGCTCCATGTCTGCGTGGTCCCACTCATGGGAAAACCGGAGGAAAAGCAGCGAGGAAACGCACAGCAGGCTTCACAAGCACAACACTTGCTCCCTACCACAGCAACTGAAGCAAAACGATATTTGGAAGGGTTTCCTGTGTTTATAAGAGAGAAGAAATACTTGTGTGCTACTGCCATCTGAGAAAGAGGCGAAAAGCAGCGTGTGTGTGTTTGTGGAGAATCTATTTAAAGCCTCATGTCCTCCTAAGACAGCAGGACCATGCCTCTTAAAATCTGTCCTGTCATTCAAGTTGATGAGCAACATCAGCCCGGGGCTTGACATTCGAAGGAGCGGATCCCCGAATCACATGCACTAATTGTCCCGCAATGACTTTCCTGAGGTGGATTAACCTGAGTAATGTTTTGAGTGGATGTTCGACTCTATCAGTCTCTCTTTTACAGCTAGAGAATAAAGCTTCTTCTACTTCTTTTTCTACTTCTTTGCTATTTCTTCCGCTACATACTTGTAATGGTAATGCTGTGCTATTCTGTGGTTCTCATTGACTGTCAGCAGAAAGCTTTTGTTTCTGAGTATAATCTGTGAGCGTATTTTCATGCCTTATTAGTGAAGATTTAAGACTTTAAGGGGAAAGTTCACCTATTTATGATTAAAAAAAAATGCCCGTTTTTCTGTGGAACACATAGGGAGTTCATTAGATCAATATCCAGTTGGGTGAATTCAATACAATGACAGTACCTACTGACTCAATTGAATGCTTATTAATTCAACACCTAAGCGTGTCAGAAAAAGTACATGCAGCTCACTGATCATTTTTCCAAGTGCTCTGACAAGTTTTGGTGATAAATAACCCAATATTTAAGCAGTTTTAACAGAAATTGTTTCCATTTCTTTGGCAGACATTTTTCTTGACATTTCTGTGCATCAGAATGAAAGGTGTATTTCTGCTGCGTTATAATATGATGAAATGAGTTTAGCATGTGCCAGAAAAATGTCTCTGTTTAAATTATCAATTATATTATTTGATGTTTAAATATCTATTTTGTTTAAGTTGCTCTGATGTGTTTTTGTTAGTGGCTTTATAGCTAATTTATCCGTAACACTTTACAACAAGGTTCTATTTGCAAACATTCATTAACTACATAACATTAGTTAACATGAACATTAACTAATGGGACCTTATTTTAAATTTATCAAAAGATTAGTATGAGTAGTTTATCTACATTAAGTTTTTTGAAGATTTTAGCTTGGCAAGCTACAGTTTAAAGGATTAAAACTGTATTTTAAAAGTCACAGTTACTTCATAAAACATTATTGTTCCATGAAATATAAAAAATACAACCTTATCATATAAAATCAAGATCATAAAACATCAAATAAGCATGCTCTATTCTGGCCTCTTAAACAACTGTGATGCATCTTTCCGTCTTTTCAGCATCATGTGCCATGACATGAGTGCTTCATTTTTAAGATGTCATGTCACATTATAAGAGTGTTTTTCAACTGTGCTGTGTTTCATTTAGTTTTGCTCAAGTCAGATTTAATCTAGATTTATTGTTTACTATGTATAAGTTGTGACTGGCAAAAAATGAACAATGCTTTAACTTTGTATTCATGTTTCTAAGATGAAGATGGATTATGCAATGACCAGTTGGCCCTTGAATAATTCAGGAAGCTCTGCATGGATGCACTGTGTAATTCAATACAATAGCAATTGCAAATTAAGTTGGCTGACCCCTGGACATAGTTGCTGATTCATCAAAACGGATGAATTTGGTACAATTCCTCTCTATAAAACTGTATATAAGAAGTATTCTGGGGATGTCTGTTGAGAATGTTTCGTGCCAAAGTGTCTCAGGTCGAGCTACTCCAGAAGGCGCTTTTTCTTCTGATAAGATCATTGTGGTGTTGATTCACTCTCATGCTTTGGATCGAAGTCCTTTTGCATCACAACTTCTGTTGAGCTACAGATGGCCTTATATTTTCTGGTAAAATGTCCTGCTAAATCATATTTTATCACCAATTCATGCAGAAATCGAAATCCTGCAACCAAAGTATGTTAGACTAGTGGTTCTCACCATGGGGCCGGCCAGGGATGACTTAAAATGATTTAAAACAAGACAAAACAAACATTAAAATGAGCTAAAACAACCAAAAATCGGAATATTTATTTTTTATTTATTTGTATTTATAATGAATATTTATTTTGTGTAAATATCCCAAGCGCTAAGCTATTTTATCGGGTATAAATTAGTAAGTAAAAGTGAGTAAAAATATTATTAAACGTCATCAATCCTTAGTAAATAATGAACAACTGCACAGTAAAAGAATATTTTCATGATTTGTTATCACAACTTTTTATATTTTGTCAAATCAACTTAGATAATTAATATGGTTCAGATAGCATAATATTTTGAGTTTTTATTTATTAAACCAATCTCCTTCATTGTATTAACTAAAAAAAATTATTTCAATGAACTCAAAATTTTAAGGCAAAATTCTTACGTTTTTAAAGTGTGGAAATGTCATGTAAATTTATTGGTTGAAAAGAGTGAGAACATTCAGCTCTTAAATTCAGGAGTCCTGCAATTTAGTGTGTGGACGAGGGGGGTCTTGGAGTCAAAAAGGTTGAGAATTACTGCATTACCACTGATTCTAAAGCCAATGCTTACAAGAAAAGGCTAAAATGTCATGAGAAGCAGTTAATGGGCTGAGAAACACTGAAACTCGTCACAGCAATGCTGGATGAAGTGAACTGAAGGTGCACTGTCACACATACACACATAAATCCAAATATATCCTAATGCAGGTGTTATGTCGGCAGGTCTTCAGTGACAAAATGATCTTCTAAATCTGCTGATGCTGACACTTCTCACTCCTGAAGATTTCCAAGCATGTAGTCATGTTTTCAAATGTGTCAGGTCGCCCACATTTATCTGCACCGGAAAGCAGCAAGGCTTGCATTATTAAATCATATTCATATAGAGAGTATGCTCAGAGAGGAACAGCTGATATATTGAAAATCCTGTTCTGTTGCGTGGGATAGAGGGAGCTATTGAACCACAGGTCAACATATAACCCTCTTAAAAGTTTTGCCCTCTGGCATTAAAGTTTGTGTGAATCTTGTCTTGTGTACCAGACCTTTAGTCTGACGTCAGCTTTCATTGGCCAAGGGCCGCGCAATAGGACGTCTGACGGACATGTAAAGTAACCAATCACAGTTTCTGTTCAGCGTCAAAATGTAAAGTTGATGTCCCCACATTAACAGGTCGGTGTGCATTCATTCAAGAATGTTGTGCAAGTTTACTTCAACAGTTAAGCAACAATGGTGCTGTAAACTTATACTTTTGAAAATGTACCGTTTATTTGATCCCTATAAGCGCTCATTGTCACAGTTGTAAACACGATGACTTTCTCCTTCCATAAGGGGGTTTGGCATCGCAACGGCTTTGTTTATAGGCGGACTGTTCTCCTGTAGAATTCAACCGATGACGATGACGACTTCGAAACTACAAAAGTGTTGTTTACATAAATGTTGTCTACATAAGACACCATTATGTGTGTCTTATGTATCAGACGTTCAGCCAACTGAGGTCTGAGGATGAGATTAGGGTGAATAGGGTGGGAGGGACATCTTGGCATTTGATCTGTAGTGTTATTATGAAAAGCAACATACATTTTTTTAATTGAATATAGCATAGAATATAGAATTGATGCACCAATTTCTCCCCAAAGATGTTTAAACCAAAGCTAAAGGGTATAAATCTAAAATGGAGGTAATTACCTCCAGTAAGACTTGTTCACATTGAACCTTAATGCTGAAATAAAGGTGACAAAACGGTGACTAATTTAGCAGAAACATTTATCTGAGACCTGAGATCGTCACTTCATTATGTTTCGCCTGGGCTTCATGGTGCTTCTGGGTTATTTATAGATCCTTGTGAACTTGGTGTGACTTTTTTCTAGTTCACAGTAATACTTTCTTGAATACAGTAGACTAAATAAAGTAGAATAAAGTCTCCTTTACACTTAAAACAGCACAGTGTGAAATGCACATCTTGAGCACAACTTTCTTGTACAATCTTGTACATCGTTCTATATGTAAACAGTTCTTATTTCAAGCTTGGCAGTCATTCCAAAGGGCCTTTAAGGAGCAAGCTGCTGTGAGCCCATCAGATTACATGCCCACTTGGCTTTACCGTAAAGTTGCCAGAATGTGAGTAAAAATAAATTGCTGCACATATATCGACTGTCATAATAACTCATAAAACTGACATTTTCGTATTCTGAAAATCTGATAAATGACTGTGAAACCACTGTCACAGATGGTCTATTAGCAGAGCTGTTTTCCTCAGGAAGTTCCTTGCTCATGCTGTGACTGTATTGAACAAATATATATCATTTCTAGAGTCAGTTAAAATTTCAGCACTTTGAATGAACAAAGTGGTACTGGAACTAGGACTTAAAGCTTCTATCTTAAGATCCAAGGTCCAGTTCTAAAACTAAACTCTTTCTTTTCCAGTGTGAACCAATTGTGGGCCATGGATTTGTGCTGGACAAGTACAAGTGCCAATGCAAGAGTGGTTTCTACCACCCAAGCCGAGTGGTGCTCAATGGCTTCTCAAGTAAGTACAAACCTGAACTGGCGAGACTTTAGATTTATTATATTACTTGTTTTTTAAGGTGAACAGTAGGAATCAATATGCCATCCATACTGTAATCTCTTATAGTATTTTGATAATTAATCATTAATGACAATTATGATAAGATTTATTTTAAACAAAAACAGTCTGAACAGTTAGATATGAACTGTAGATATGGCTTGGGTTCATTTGTAAATCAGTTTGGTTCCAAAACGCAATAAATCCATTTAGATTAATTTGAGTAAAAATGTGTTTTCTTTACCAAGAAAGTGGAAAGATGAAAACCACTATTTTCTGTTTCAAACTTTCACATAGCATTTGTAGGTCATAAAAACAGAACAAAAAATTAAAATCCAGGTTTTGATTTTCAAAGATTTATTATAAAAACGGATTATTTTTTTCCCCAAAATTCAAAATGCAATTAATCCATTGAATCAATATAAAAGTTTTTTTTTTTTTTCATATTGAAACTGTTGAAAATACACAACAACGTAAGTTTATTAGTATAATATTTTTATTAAGAACTGTAAAGAAGATTGAAAACATTTTTCCTCCTCCGAGTGCCTCATATTCTTAATCTCCTCACGTAAATGATTCGATTTCGATGCCTTACGTTTCTTACCCACCGCAGTAACAACCACAGGTTTATCAATGCCGTCAAAATTATTCATTTCTTTGTTTGTTTGTTGATCGAAAAGTACAAAATAGATAAGAAAAACTAGGAAGCCGGATGTATTTAAGGCGCTGCCTTACTGTTTACATTGCGTGGAATGGTGCGTTGTGATTGGTTGAGAGCGGATATATCGCATTCTGCAGAGAAGGGAGACTGGCGTTTGTCACGGTTTGGAAAGTAAGGGAGAAAACATGACAGAATAACACGGCGGATATCGCATTTTACTTAAAATTAAACATTGACTTTTCAATACCAACCAGATAAAATACTGATTTTTGCAGTAACTATTTTTTTTTTTTTAATGCCGTTTATCGCGTTTTGGAACCAAACTCTTTTGTTTAATTGTCTGTCAACAATGTGAGTGTAAAATGAATAGAAATAAAGTAATTGGTCAGAGATTGTTTGAACAGAACTAGCCTGCACTGAATTTTTCTTTCTGACAGAAACAGATACACATTGAGTTACTTCCTTCCACCAGATAATTCATGATCTCAAACTAGGCACGAAAACCCCAAAGACAAGTTTATTTTTATTTCATGCCTAGTTGTTAAGAGCAACATTCCTCTCACGTGCACTCACATAATAATTTATGCAAAAATAGAGCAATTTAAACGAGTCGCCACTACTTTTAAATAAATTAACATTAGCATGGATACAGTATTGGCTAATTTACATACAGGCAAATGTGGACTAATTACAAAAAGCTGCAGCTCTGTCCAGAAACGTGGCAGATAGGCTACACACATTCACCTTATTTCATATTTGATAAACCAAGGCTTGTTCATAATTCAAAAAGCCTTGGACTCTTTGAAAATCATCCAATCTGAGGTTGGTGAATTTTGTTGTGTTGTCTTGTCTTGCAGGGGCTTGCAAATTGTCCTCTGCAGTTATAGTCTGTTATCTGTTCTCTGTCATTGTGTGTGTGCTCTGCATTATTAGATTACTATTGTGCTTTTATGCCTGCTTCAACTTGACTTCCAATAAGTCCAAGATTTGAAATATCTTGATTGTTTCTCCTAAACAGCAGCTATGGACACTTTTGCAGGAAGTCTCCTAATTCACTCACATCTACCTAATTCAGAGGAAAAGACCCTTGATCTCGCAGAGATCTCAAAAAAAGCTATACTTCCATACAAAGTTGCAAATTTAACTTGTGCGCAAAGTCGGAATATGGCATAAAACATTTGTGAATAATGCACCGTTACCGTCCAATGTGTTCATAAGAACAAAATTGTCACTTCCTGTGAAATTGGCACAAAATATCTGTAATAAAAATGGAAGCTGCTGCAGTCGGGGTTGGTATCAAGGAATTTATTATGCGCATGTCTTTTATCAGATTAAAAAAGAATCTGCCTCAAAATGTGCATACGTTTTTTTATGTACATTTTTAGAATTTATGCGCATTGTCATTTCCATCCGGAGTTTTTTCTATGCAATATCCCAACATTCGCATAAAAATAGGTAGATGGAAACTGTCTCAATGTGCGCAGATTTGTCTGCAATCAAAAGTCAATATAAAGTCGGCATGAAATGAAAATTCTCATCTATTTTTAAATGCATTGTATTAATCTTATGCATCCATAAGGTTTTTTTGGGGGGGGGTTTTGACCTGGTAATATGTAATCAAAATATCATAACTCTCATAACGACTTCTCTCTGGCGACGTATGCCGGACTCCTCCAATCATTTAGTCCGCTTAAACTCGCTCCTTTCTTAAAATCTGCTGCAAGCTCGTATTCAGACCTGGCTCAATCCAGTCAAAACCAAAACCAATGAAATCAAATCCGATGTACATCACAATAAAGAATCTGAGATCCGAAGAAAAAGATCTGTCACTACTTCCGTTTCATCACGATTTGAACTCTCACTAAAACAGACACATTCATTTTATAGCTCTATACTTACTACTGCGGGCGGCCTTATGTCTCACATGGGACAAAGAGGATTAAAGCCAAAAGCTAAAACTATTACTCCTGTATGTCACACTTTATTTCTCCTAAACTATCTTAGACCGCAACGTTGATATATGAATTTAACATAACTGATAACTATAATAAGATTTCGTAATAACATCCTTCTCTGGAATAACATCCCCATCGACCAGTTTTCAGTAGGTCAAAGGAAGACTATCCAAAATTAGTTAATGTTGGTAATGTATGATGAGATTTGAATTAACACTGCACGGTTTTGGATGAATCCATCAGTCATAGGCTGCGTCCGAAATCGCATACAGTCTAGAGCAGGTACTTATTTTGAATAAATAATTACTTCAAGACTACTAAAAAAAGTACGTTCTATATGAGTGTGTACGTTATGAATGTAATCCGGACTTACTACATTCAACCATGTTGCCATTATCATGTGACCTACCAGCGTCAGTTGCGTCGCTTCATGCCATTCGTAAATCCTCTCCCGTGGCCTCATGGGATAGTAAAGTGTCCATCGTATGCGCACTTCAAAATCTCACCGGAAGTAGTAGGTCATCCAGGTGCTTTTGCCTACAAAATGCACATCGCCTTTTGCCTTATGAGTACTGTGAATTCGGACATAATTATTTTGTCACACTGTTTTTCTCCTACTATATAGTAGCCAATGTCACATCGTTGTCATAGTATGGTTCCTTGTCGTCCACCTGTTGTTAGAATCAGACCGGGAAACATACTCTGATGAATCCTGGGAATTGTCCGGGAGGTGTTTGCCCTGCCGAGAAGGCTGTCAGTTCTGCAGGGATGACACACCGTGTCTGGCTCAGGAGGACACTGCCCTCCGTCTTGCCATGGTCTCCATTCAGGGGATCTGTATGCTCCTGGACGTCATCAGCATGGTGGTTGTCTACCACTTTCGTCGCAACAAGGTAAGTACGTTTACAGTCCGTTATCTCATCTGGAAAGGCTTTGTACTCTATTCTGCTTTTATTCTGCTAGAGTTACCCGAGCCAAAGAAAAACTAGAGCTTGATTTCAGCTCGGGCAGGTTTATTGGCCTGAAGGGCAAATATTGCTTTTCAAAATGTCATGGTTTATTCCTTCTCTCCTATTACTTGTCTCAACCTTATTTTTCAGAGGATCAAAGCATCTGGTCTTATACTTATTGAAGCGATACTTTCAGGATCTGTTCTTCTCTACTTCCCTGTAAGTACCAAGACTTTTTTTCAACTCCTCTATCAAAATAATAAAGGAATATCAATGTTCCCTTTCATTCTATGTCACTATTTAAGATCAACATGAAATGTGTGAATACCATTTTACTTCAGTAATCTGGCATATTTCTAAATTAAAGGGCATGTTCAATTATGAAAAAGAAATTTATTCTTTGGAATAATGTTCAGCAATGAATAATTTTTAATTTTTTCATCTGTTAAGTTCCGTTTTTTTGTGATCTGATCAGCGCTAAATACAGGTGGAAACGTTTTGTGATCTGATCATTGTGAGAAGGTGCACTAAGTAATGGGATTCAAGCTGCATTGTACGAAACAATTGTGTATCTTGTCATTCCCTTCTTTTCTCATTTAAGCTGGGTTCCTGAGAAAGTGATGTTGGGTCTGATGAAATAAGATCTCAATTAAATCTGAATTCAAATAGTCACAGATGATGTTAATTGTTAACACCAGATGGAAACATTGCATCTTGGCTGTCCGCTTGGGATTGCATCACTATATAAGCATCTAATACAAAAACAGACCAGGGACCGTTTTAATTTCATGCTATATTTAAAGGACCAGGCATCCAGGATGCAGCTGTAAAGATCCATTATGATTTTCTTGGTTTTATCCTCAGTTGACTGATTTGGACAGTTTGCACTTGAGGCTCTGTGAAATGCAATGGTCTGCTTTTCATTTGGCTGGTCTAGTGTAGTAAGCCTGTTCAATGTTGAAAGAGTGACATTATTTATATCAGTTTAAGTGAAAGCTAAGTATTTGTTGGCCAGCTTTCAGTCACTTTTATCATTTCAAATGCATATTAAGATCAAATTTTGTCGCATTTCCATGTTTAGTTGCTTCTGTGAAACCCCATCAGAACGTCTTGATTCTTCAACTCGTGGAAATTTTCGTTGTGAATGAAAACTTGATCAAACACAATAGAAGATGCCCTATATTTGATCACTTCTCATTTGAGAATGCTTGTGTAAATTTAAAATGGAATCTGTCAAAAATGAATTCCTCAACTGAGTTGTGTAAACTCTTAGATTCTGTGTTCTTGTTAAAAACAGGCACGTCATCTGTTGTGCTCCTGTCTCTGTGGTATTTTTCTCTGTTCTTAAGCTGAGCACACCTCCCGGACCATCTGTGGTAGTCAACAGCTCTTGCATTTATATGAGAGATAGATGGAGGATGAAACAGGGTAAGGATGGTTTATTTGCACACGCTGTTTGTCATTTTAGCTCTGGATTATGAAAACCAGGTAATGACACAAACAGTTTTTAAAAATAAAAAACTTATAATGAATGCAGTTTGCACGCTGTTCTGAGTGTAAGGTTATGGAGCACTTTACCACTCTCATTCAGACACCTGAAACAGCTGTTTAAAATGCAGAAAGTGAGCTTGACTACACCAAACGTGTGGTGATGTTTGGTTATAGCGCTTATCTCCTCATTTGATCATGTATCAATTAATAAATGCTGCCTTCTGCAAATAAAATATACAATTAACAATAAAAGGTCAAATTAAGATGTAATATGATGTACAAGTATATGATGTTTACATCAATAATGATTATTTTAATAGCCTTACAATATAAACATCATAAACCGTTAATACATGAATATGGTATTTTACATGTGTTATCATAGGCTAGGATTTATGCCGCCATTGGAAATTTCCCACTTCTGAAGTCGTGATTACAAGCTCGTCGCATTCAAGTGCTTTGTTGTCAGAAAGAACAAGAATCATGGAGGACTCTAGGTTTATTCTTGCCTGTTTATTGGGATCATCTTATTAAAGAGAAAATGATATTTAGCATCACATATCAGTCAAATTTTATCGCTGTTTATAAAACATACAATATGCTTTAAATTATTATTCATACAACTGTAAATAAGCACTCCCTTAACGACAAGACAAGGCGATATCTGTTGTGAAAAAAAAGAGCAGCAATCGTTCTCCCCTTCACCATGTTTAAAGTTTTTGGCCTGCCTAACTTGGGAACTTGGGTATCAAAATGATCTCTGAGCTTCCCAATGGTAAATACACCTTGAGAGGGCATTCATGTCCAATTTGAATGATATGAAATAGGGGGCCCGGCTCTGGCTATCTATCCATCAAGACGTCCTTGTCCTGAAAAAGGTTGAAGACCACTAGTTTAGTCAATTCATCCCTAAATGTTACCAAAATGTCAATAATCAGCAATACCTAAAAATGAAGCAAGGCCTCATTTTGATTTTCTTTGTAAGCCAATAATGTCATGGTTCAATAAAAAGCATCCACAGCGCCATAAAAGTTTAATGAAAAGTCAAGTCAACATGAAATCAAAACTGACCCTATTCACTTTCTTAATTCACATTTTTGATCTTCAGTGCATGTCTCGCCTCTAAAACAACCTCTTGTTTTTTCAATCTCTCCCTTCCAACCAACTGGCTCTATTCTGGTATTTAACAGCCACTTTTCACAATCCAATAAAAATATTGACACTTGATGTTGAATGTTCTGTTTCATGCCACATTGTGTAAGTAAAATGCGCTGTGAAAGGTGTTTCATGGTCACTTTTTTCGAACAAATTCAGCTTTCATGGCACAGCAAACTGAATTCTGATGCGATTTTAAGCTCAGAACAGAACATATGACAGTGATCAAACATGTGCATGCTTTCAGATGCACTACGGCTGCGTATATTTTCTATCGTGACATGCTGCTGTTCTGCTGTGCAGCGCTATGCATTATGAATGAGTCCATCAAGTTCTAGCGCAACTTGTTATAAATAAATCCTCTGATTAATTAATGGCAGTGTTGGAGGCAAAAGGGGCCACCTATTTGTCTCCAGTCTGATGTTACAAATATGTCACTATATTTATTTTGCTGTCATTGACACCCTGCCCTACAGCACTGAAGGTACACGATTTGGACCAGTTTACAGTGGAATTAAACAACAGTAGGCTATTGGACTACCAAGATATGTTATGTCAGTTTCACGAAAAGTTGGAAGCCTTTCATTTCTAGTGCCTCACTGGGCGTTCATAGTGTGAATTGACTTGCACATTGTGCCGACAAAGGACCATGTGACATTGTCAATTATTTAATAAGTAAAACCTGTCAAAAACATTTATTTCTCATGACCTTAACTCTTTCCCCGCTGTTGTCGTAATTTTCCGGCAATCCATGTTTTCACTGTTGTACGGTAGACGTTATTACGCATCTCCTGAAAGAGTAGAGAATCTGCAGTTCGAAACACAGGGGAAAAAGAAGCAGAAACAAGCAATAAAATCATTGCTTATGCACATGTAAGCTAGCGCGATCCTTGGACATTAAACTGCATATAAATCAAAACTGCCTAATGTTACTGAATGAAAAGTCGACCCAGGACAAGGTATAGGACTGTTCATGCTTTGGGGGTGTTGATGGATTCGGATCTACTCCATCTATGTTTTGATCATCATTCTGAGACCCGATATGGACATAGTCTTTGACAAAAACGCGATTTTCTCAGCTTTTTGTTCAAAATGTTGCTTTTTTATGAAACTTTTTCACATTCAGATTGCAATGAAAAGATTGCATGAAGCTATAATTTATTATTTCTTTCAAATTTTGGGGAAAATGTCCATTTTGACGTAAAACCAGCAAGATGTCAATTGCAATTGCAAAAACATAAACTTTAATCTAAAAATAAACAAACAACAAAACAAGTAAATTGGTAGCCCCTCATGGACGACTGCCGCACATAAACATAATAAAACACAACATAAATGTCCCGGGCCTGGTACTCTCTCGTCCTTCACTGTCGTCACACCTCCTTTTATCCTTCCAGAGCTCCTCGGTGGGACTCAAGACTGGTGTGGCGCGCAGGTGATTAACTTTCCACATACCCCCATCGCCCTTCGCAGGCCGGGGCGATAAAAACACAATTTTTTCTTCTTCTTTTTCCTCTCTTCCGTCTCTCGCCTCTGTCCCTCCTCATCCTTCCGTCTCTTTTTCTTTTGCCTCACCTGTCCGTAATTACATATAGCAATTACAATAACTGGGTTATAACTAGGTACTAACCCCGAACCTACCCCTAAACCTAACCTTAACCCTTGTAGTTCCCTTATATTACCAGTACTTTCTTGGGTAAGTACACTGTAAGTACGCATACTGTGAAATAGGGTGTTACCGGGGGGATTTTGTTGCCTGTGAACTGAATGCATTTGAAACATTGCTGCTTTTACATGAAGATGAGCTTGATGAACGTACAGCATGGTTGTTCAGAGCCATATGTTGGAAACTAACGTGGCACCTGCCGCTAAAAATAGTATTTTGCTACAAATCAACATGATGCCTCATCAAGTTAGACATCATTTCTAGTATGCATCTGGTGGGGTTTACCGTTGAACATTTCTGTGCATCTCAAATGAGCCTAGTATAAAGCAGGCAGAACCAAGACAACAGCCATAACCTGTAGCCCAAGACTGGTTGCCCACTGAAGCTAAGCAGGGTTGTGCCTGGTCAGTGGGAAACCTCCTGGGGAAACTATTTTGCTGCTGGAAGAGGTGTTAGTGAGGCCAGTTGGATGGTGCTCACTCGGTGGTCTGTGTGGGTCCTAACGCCCGTGATGGGGACACTATACTGTCAAAGAGCACTATACTGTCGGATGAGACGTTAAACCGAAGTCCTGACCCTGTGGTCATTAAAAATCCCAGGATGTCCTTCGGAAAAAGAGTAGGGGTTTAACACCGGAATCCTGGCCAAATTTGCCATTGGCCTCTGTCCATCATGGCCTCCTAATCATCCCCATATACACTTATTGGCTTCATCACTCTATCTCCTCTCCAAAAATAAACTGGTGTGTTTTGGGCGTTCTGGCGCACTATGGCTGCCGTCACATCATCCAGGTGATTCCACCCTTCTATATGTAAAGCGCTTTGAGTGCGCATGCAGAAAAGCGCTATGTAAATGTAACTTATTATTATTATTATTATAACAAAGGTTTTTTGTTTCCCCCAATTTGGTTTTGATGTAACTTCTTGTGTGGACAAGTCAGTATACCAAAATGGATTTTCCCTATCCTGATGAGTGTTAAAGGCATGTGCTCATTTATTTCTCCGAGAGAAGTGCTGCTAATTGAGTCTTCCTCATGGTTAGAAGCTACACATGGCAGAGCTCTTTGATTACACCGAAGGGGCCGTTTTGCTGTTTGCACATTTAAGAGGACGACTGTGGATTGGAAAGCTGTACTGGTGACTCTCCTAGGGGAGATAAGAACAGATGCATCATTCCATCAGTCTGTGCTAATATTTATTGAATTCTGCTGCTTTAAATAAGACGGGCACAGAACAAAAGGGACAGCGGGCTTGTGGGATAGTGAACAAATCATAGATCACTTTTTTTGTCCACATTACTGTATAATGAGCATTTAGAGTGGAAATGTGCATGAAAATAATGTCACTATGTAAAACATCATAATGCTTCTAAAATATATTTCATGTCACCCCCATTTGTGAGCATAGATCAGAACTGAAATGGTTGTTATTCTTGAATGTGATTGTAATGCAGAGATTGTTTTAGAATGTCCTGAATAGGGGTGCAACGGTTCAAATTACCCACGGTTCGGTTTGTATCACGGTTTTAGGGTCACGGTTTCGGTATGTGCTATGTTAATAATCAAACTACAAGCAAAAGCAAAAATAATTACAGTAGCACAAAGATACAAATAAACAGTGCTTTTCAGGTTATTTAAGTATCTAACAGTAGTTTTCAGGTACAGAAATAAATTAGCTAATCAAATGTAAAACAACATTGCATATAATCTTCAATGTATAAATTATAAAGATAATTCATTATTAATTAAGTTGCAAAAGTTATTCAGTCAAGAGCAGTGAGTGATTTCCTTGTCTTTTGTTGTTTGATTAACGTTAAAAACACATACAGACAGCAGGAATATTAGGCTGCTGTCACTTTAAGACATAATGCATGGATCCAGTACACTGATACTGATACAAATGCTTTGTCTTTCTCGACTGTTTACGTTCACTTAAGACATAACCGACCATGTTTGCTAGGATACTCGGCAAGACGAGCATGTTGACATAATTTTTCTGTGAATTTGTCCGTTCAAGCGCAAGACTTGAAAGAGAACTCAATATTTGCACGCTTCGGATGAGTGCACAGCACTGCACACACAAATCTATTTACAGCTATTAACACCCGGGTGATGGCGGCGTAAATGACTTGTCATATAGCATACGTCACTCGGATTGAACAAAGTTTAGGGAAAGCCAGAATACATATGTCCATCGACAGAAACATACATTAGCCTGTGTCTACACCTGTGTTACACCCCTAGTCCTGAACTAAACTTTTTTTTTATTATAAAAAATACATATTTTTCACGGTTATGGACTCCTGCGTTTCTGATTATATCCTTGTTTGTTTCTATAGTTACCAATTATTCCCAACGGTGTCTTGTCTAGTTCTCCTTGTTTGGTTATGTCTTTTGTCAGTAATCGTGCATAATTTACGTGTAGTTTGCTATTGATTCTCCTGAGTGTTCTCCTGTGTTATTCTCTGTGTTCATTAAATACTTTGTTTGTTATTTTTTGCATCCTGCGTTTGGTTTATTACCACACTCCGTTACAATATAATTTGGACTCTAAAATTGCTAGAAAATCAAAGCCATGACTAGCCAAGTTGTGTTCCATATTTTATAAAAGGTTTTAAAAACTGTTTCCATGGTAATGCAATATCCCATTTTAAAACGGTTTAAGTTTTTTGAATGATCCCTAATTTATGATGATTACTAAGATATGCATGCAAAATATATTTTCTTATTTCTTTTGATTTTGAATGTGAAATATAACTGAGACATAATTTTAACAGATTTCATCAGATTAAGCCAGCTACCTTGTGTTTTCTGAAGAGCATCAGTGCAATGCTGATGTCTTCACATAATTACAGCCACAATATATAAAGAAATAAATGCACAAAAAAAAAGCACCCGGTGATTCATGAATTTCATTACTCCCTATTTTTATCTTGTCTCATCAGGTTATGATACATTATTTTAATCCAAGTGTTATCCGGTGTATTCTCCTGAGATGGGCCCGTTTGCTCGGCTTTGCCATCGTTTATGGAACAGTGATTCTCAAATTGTACAGGTAAAATAATGCGGCCAACTTCAATATAAGAAACTCAATGATCAGAGATAATAGTTTCAAAGTAAAATTATATAGAAATAATGTCTTTTTGAATTGAAGAGGGAAAGGATCAGTAAGCAATAAAGTAAACTCCGGCTGCATTTCACACAAAACAAAAAAATCATAATATTTTACTGTAAACTTGAAATCTACATGAGTGTTGCTTTAATTTATCTTATGTTTGTGTCTTGTCCTTCCTTTTCATACCAAGGGTTTTAAAAGTGTTCCTGTCACGCACTGCCCAGCGGATCCCTTATATGACCAGCTGGAGGGTTCTGCGTCTGCTTGCTGTGATTTTGCTGGTGGTTGTGTGGTTCCTAGTGGCCTGGACCTCAGCCGTATGCCAGAACCACGACACCCATCACGCCCTCATTGACATCGGTGTCACCCCAGAGGGCCTGCAGTTCAGCATGTGTCTATTGGACAGCTGGGACTACATGATGGCTGCTGGTCAGTTCTTATTCTTATATTAATTCTACTTGAACCAGTTTCATACAGCAGCCCAAAAATTTAAACTGATTTCCATTGTGACCAACGCAATCTACCAAGAGCAGTGCAAATTAAAAATAATGTGGCTTGGCAAACAATATGTTCGGGTAACAGAAAACTGTGTCCACTCCTTTTCATTGTTAATTTTTCACTGCATGTCTTTATTAAATCATGACAGTAGTTAATTTTTCACGCCTAATGAGGGTTTGTGCTGGCGCAAACATTTTGTAGATCTGACCCTTAAACCATGAAAAAAATGATTAATATCATTAAATGAGATGCAGAATATTTAATATTAAATATATTCTTCAGTTGTGCTACCAACAGCCTCAGACAAGGTAAAATGAGGCAAGAATGGCAAACTCTCAGGGTTACGGATGCAGCTTTGACAGAAGAGATGTGAGATGTATAATCTGATCATTTGAGTGTGGCCAGTCAGCATTTAAGGCATGAGGGTGTGAGACGTGGCCAGTGATGCAGAGACAGTTCTCTTTGACAGCTCGAGTACCTTCTGCTTACAGCATGAAGCACAGGAGGAACTGGAAACTGCCCTCAAAACTCATTCAATCTTTTCACGCGCAAAGACATCCTGGCTTGTATCATTAATGTACATGATTTAAATGAAGAAAATAAAAAGATACAGGCTATATTTATTGTACTTTTTTGTCCTTCTTGAAGATACAAAATGCTTCCTTTGAGGGCTCCGGTTTCCCCCAGATGCTGCGTCTGGTATTGACGCTATGGGGAATGCCATCAGCTTGACCGATGTCTGAGGCACGTGAACAAAAGCCAAAATTCATTGGTGGACGGCAGTCCATGATGTCACACGCACATGAGTATAAAAGGACACCCGAGTTACATGTCATCAACTCTTTTGTCTGAGGGAGACGCGCAGGCAGGCCCAAGGTGTGGCAATGAGACACAGCATCTCCTTCCCCTTCTCAGGGAAACAGGTTACATACACAACCTAAGACGTTCCCTTTCAAAATGGAACTTCAACGCTGCATTTGGCATTGACGCTATGGGGAACCAATACCTACTACGCCATGCTGAGTGAAGACCTGCCTCAATAGGCACAAACATAGTGGACATAGCATAAATTGACTAAATGAGTCTGACTCAATAAATTGACAAAGTCAGAAGCGTGACAACCCCATGGGCACAACCCATGTGACAATCATCACAGCTGCTTATCATTTAGTTCATTATCTCTGTCTATTTAAGTTCCTCTGTTTGGAACATTGGAACGGTGTTGTTTGTGTGCAAATGGATTATGCAGCGAAATTCGCTGCCCTAGCCCGAGAAGACTTTCCTCCAATGAACTTTGGCCTTCAATTCAGTCAGCTTACTTTAAAGACAGCCCTCAATGATGAGACTTTAAAGCTTCTGGATCGGGGCTAACTAATACCATCCAGTAGACTTCCCAGACACCACAGAACTTGATTGAAAGGAGGCCATCATCCGGTGTCTGGAGAGCATCTACCCTTGTTCCAGACTGCAGCCAGACCCTGAGCCAAGCCCACCACCACCCCTAACCATGGAGACGACAACGCCAGACCCCCCTGCAGATGGAGAGCTTTCTCCGCCGCAAACCCTGTGCCTGTGACGACAGCGCCTAATAACGCCTGAAGTCCCAACGAAAGTCTGACCGGGGTGTGAGCCGGCAAACATCGTCCCGGTAGGAGTCCTGGTGGAGCTCGACACTGAAGACTGGCTGATTGTTTGGGACTCTGAAGGGGTGCTTCCCACCCTGAACTTTCATCATCAGAGTCATCAGCAGAACTATCATCACCGCTGGTTCTAGCCAACGGAGAAGCGGTATCATCGCTCAGCAAGAACACAGAATTACCACTACTGATCCCGTCAAACTTACCTCTGTCACCATCATTGCAAAGCTCAGCCAGTCCTCCAGCTCCGCCTCTGCTGGATGCCTGCAGCCCTTCACCTTCCCCATTCAGCAACGTGAAGCCTCAGGTCCTTCTACCACCAGCTTCGCCTGAGTGAGGGGATCCTTTGCCCTCAGCCTTGCGGCTCCACCAGGCTCCCTCGTCCCTCCGGCTCCTCCTCGGTCAGTCGTCATCCTGTCTGCACCGTGGACCTACGAGCCATCCACCGCTTTGCTCCAGCGGGCTCCGCCCTCTCCCCGGATCCACCGTGGTCCTCGAGCACACCGGCTTCGCCTAAGTCCTCAGGCACTCGGCCTCCAGAGCCAGCGGTGTCACTCAAGCCCATCAGCTCTCCGTCTATGCCCTGGGATCCCAGGCTTTTACCAGCCCTTCGCCATCTCCTCTCATCAGCCCTTCATCGGCTCCTCGTCCCCCCCCAAAGCCCCCACCTTTCCTCCCTGACCACAACTGTTATGGCGCAAGGTCACACCTTCCGGGAGGGGGGGCGTAATGTCACGGATCTGTTCAGTTAGTTTAATTTTCATGGACTTTTTTGTTTGTTTTTTCAGTCAGATGTTCTCCTTCGTCTTAGTTTCCCACCAGTCATTAGTTTCTATGGACACTGATTAATCATTACAGCTGCTTATCATTTAGTTCATTATGTTCCTCTGTTTGTGTCACTCATGGTCCGGTATTGTTTGTGCATAGCACACTGTTTCATGTTGTTTGCCTGCGTTGAATAAATCTAGCTGTTACTGGGACATACTTATTCTGCCGCCTACATCTTTGGCCTGGGATTGTTACAGACACTAATATTTTCACTGTTTTTTACCTACTAACTGTACGTTCACACCGCCGCCGACTTGAGCTTCCAAAGCGGCCGGAAGTCATTCATTTTCAATGGAAGCTAGCTTCTCTCAGCTGCAAAGAGCGTCAAATCCATCGGCGTCGCGTTTTGGGCGTTTTGAGCGTCAATCAGAAAGTTGAAAGAATCTCAACTTTATGGTAATGAGCTATGACGCTGTTCAGCGGCAAGCAGCGGCAAAACGCCAGCAATATAGACGTCCTTCGCGCTGGCTGATTCCGGAGAAACATACGATACGTTCCTACCAAAACATTAGTTCCGAGAAAATGGAGGAGAAGCTAATAATTGCCGTTGCTGGGTTTCCTATCATTTATGACATGACGTTGTTTATTTGAAATATTTACGAACGCTCGTTTTAAGCGGGAATGCAATTCATTTGCTCACGGTGACACCGATTTGACCAATTGCACTAATGCAAATAATAGCCTAATGCAAATAAAAATAATAGCTAATTATTATTTTTTTTCGACCAAATGTGACCAAAACGGTTATAAAAATGCTGTCATTATAAAAGGTTTCTTCAATGTATTGCTTGTTTTTTCTGTTTATTACATTTCATGTTGTGACACTTCTCTTCTCCCTGCTACGTCAGAGCGTCCAAAGCGTCAACAAGCTTCCCCGTACTTTTTGACAAGCGTCCTTGACAGGGCGGCTAGAGCTTCTTTGCCGCTCAAGTCGGCGGCGGTGTGAACGTACAGTTAATAGTAAGGAGGTAATCTTATTCGAATGCAGCCAATTTTTGAGGGTTTTTTTGACAATCCATTAAAATGAACGTTTGGAGATCCATGTTAGCATGCAACCATTGAGTATCTATTTATAGTCATTCTCTCTCATTATATTCACGTCAAACTGTAAATTCCACAAATCAGCTAAAACCAAATATTATTAGGAAACATTGTCATAGTATTTCTGTATGGTCTTCAGTCCATCTAGGTGGAAGAATGCAAACGTTTAAGAATGGAGATAAATGTTATAAAAATAGTTTTTTTTTTTTTTTATGTAACTGATTCTGAATAAGAAAGGGTTCTGGATTCCTAAACCTACTGCATACTTAAAATGGGAAAAAATAATATCAACTTCATTCAAATACTAAAATATATTTTGTTTTAGGTTGTTGTTGTTGTCTCAAACGTCATTTTGAAGATGCACCATCGACTTTGGTTACTTTGAGTGATGTGGCAAAAGAGGGAGGGAGGGGAAACAGCCTTTCAGGCCGTGTGAAATCACATCTTTTCAGCTGGCATTCCCAGTCTTGACACACTAAATAATTAGTGACGGCACTGTGTCTTCTTGTGTTCCTGTTCTAGCGGAGTTCCTGTTCCTGTTGTGGGGCATCTATTTGTGCTATGCTGTAAGGAACGTCCCGTCCGCTTTCCACGAGCCTCGCTACTTGGCAGTCGCCATTTATAATGAACTCCTCATCTCTGCAATATTTCACATCATTAGGTGAGCAATGTGCATTAGTTATGAGTAGCAACAGCAGAAGCATGATTAAGATGACATGCTTTCCATGTTTATTTATGAGACAGGCTGCTTTATGAGCAGAATGCAACACCGTACTTGAGGAATAACATGAGAGCTGAAATGCAAATGAAATACAAACTGATTTTTAAAAGGTTTTTCATGTGCAAAGAGTTATATTATACTCTGTATAGCATCATGGCGTAGAAGGCCCATATGCAAAAAATGTTTAATGAACCCCAAACAACAAGTGCAACGAATAAGTGTTTATGCAGTGTATCAGAACAATAACATACCAAACACATTGCTTCACAAAGGACATTTATATCTCATTGTTTTCATCTGAGTAGCCTGATAAATTCATAATCTCTTTAAAGTAACAGGCCATCCAGATCCAACATAAGAGTATCAATAATAGTCAAAAATTGTCTAAACGTATAAATTTAATAAACCAATGAGCGGTGCATAAAACGCAATTTTGAGTGGTATACGTCTACCCAAAAACCTTTAAAAAACCAGAACGGAACTAACATAAGTAATGGATGATGTGTACACATGGATAATCCGCATGGAGGCAAAGAATCACCCGACTCAAAGCGGAGACTGGAATGGTAAAAAATGACAGTTATTTTGTCTACAGTTCGTTAAATCTAGAATTCTGCCTACTATAAATCAGACACAGAGATAAAGCAGTTTGGTAAGATTACATTTATTTGAATGAATCAGAGAGAGAGATTGTGCATGTGTGAATTACCTTTGTCTATTGTTACACCCCGTCTAGGGGAAAAGGGGCAACATGAAAGAGTCAACGAAAAATGAGGAATTGGAACAAAAAGTTATTTATTTTTTCTTAATTTGGGACTTAAGATTCAGGAGCTGACAATGCCAAAATAACAAACAAAACAACCTTAAATTTAAACCTCTTTCCTAAACCCTAACCCAAAAGAAAAGAAAATGAAGATACAATCAATAAACCTATCTCCCTAACCAAAAACAGAGAAAACAGTTTACAATAAAGAAAATAATGGCGTCGAGCTCCCTACTTTCCCAAAAATCAATCAGTATTTACAATATATACAGCCAGGCAAACAAACTGAAAAGGGCAGTCCAAATCAGTGTCGGTAAACAGGCAAAGGGTCAAATATACCAATGAGGATATTCAGATACAAACAACTTTCAAAACAAATAAACAAACAGTACTCACAGTCTCAATACTCTTAACAGTCTCAAATCACAAACTTTCTCTTTCAAATCAAACAAACAAACAAAAAGGGTACTCAGTCTCAAAAACTCTTAACATTCAAATCACAAACTCTCTCTCTGCTCAAAACACAATATCTCCCGACTTCCTGTAAAGGAAGTGATGTCTCTTTTTAACACAAGCTGCACCAATCAGGATCGAGCAGCAATCATCGTGCAGGAACCAATCAGATGGGCGTTCCAATCATCCTGCAGGAACCAATCAGACGACGTTCCTAAACAGACATACTGGCCCTCATTTATCATTCTTGCGTAGAAACGGGCGTATATGTTGGCGTTAGATTATGCTTACACTCCTCTCACCGCCTGATTTATGAAGCTGTGCGTACCTTTGAAATCCAGGTGTACGCAATACCTGCCCTTGATAAATCCCGCGGCTGAAAACGATCGTCATTAGAATAACACGCCCCTATATATTCAAGTATCCGCTTCCCCCACGCCCTCATTTTACGCCATGGACACACGGAAGACGGCAAAGAAGAGAAACTTCTCTGACGTGGAGCCGAAATGACCTATCACAATGCATTATTTTACAGCACGTCTTTTGAATTAGCATTCAATTTCGAATCACGTCACATGTATTGGGGTGTACAATAGTGATGATGATGATGTGATGTGGAGTACCATTCATTCACATTAATAATTGCATGACAATTTGTAATATTCTTCTTATTATTATGATTTTTATTATTAATGACGCTTATTGTTATTTAGAAGAAGAACGTTGTTATTATTATTTGTATTATTATTATTATTATTTAAAAGAAGAAGAATGTATTTTTTATTATTTTGTCAGTCTGAATTATTTTTTGGTCATTGAAAGCCTTTCATTACCGAACTCAGTCCGTGCGCACCTCCCGGGCCAAACCCTGAAACGTCAGGGTAAAGCGCACAGGCTCGCAACTGAAAGAATACATATGGCTACAAATCAAATGCAATTGGTAAAGTCACACAAATTAAACATTGAAGTCCATGTTGCACAAAAATAAACACTGAAGTTTATAATTACTATGTTGTTGTTGTTGGTCATATCATATCTTGTAGTTTGTCAGTGCATTTTGTGGTGTTAGGAATTGTTTTTCTGCGCATTTCCGCACTGACTCAAAACTGCGTACACCTCCTCCTGAGCTGGCGTAGGATTTATGCGTGCCGTACGCCAACATCCATATTGATAAATCTCAAAGTCACCGTGGTTTTGGGTGTACGCCAGGTGTACGCTGGAAATTTGGTGTACGCACTTTTGATAAATGAGGGCCACTGAGAGACTGACAAAACAACAGAGATAGCAAAATACAAACCATAGGGTCGTAACACTATGCAGCATCTCTCTATTAATAGTGAAGCTGTGTGTTGAATTACTTCAAAAAACAGTGATGCTTCCACCTCGTTGCTAAAAAATGTAATGTAGCATTTCAGTAGTGAAGCTATTTTAGTAATAAAAGGTTTCTGTGCTACTGAAAGCTTGCATGTTATGCTTAACAACTTAAGGCTGGAATACACACAACTTTTCAAATCTGAACAGAACTAGGCATTTTACTCTTGCTGACTTTACGTAACTAGTTTCTGAGAAAAACTTGGGCATCAGACTAAACGACTGAGGATCAATGATTTTTCAAGGCCTTCCGATCACAACAAACGCACACCTAAACGTGCTTCGTTTCTAAGAGACGCATGCGAAACGAAGACAATGTGTGCTAAATATGCGCTCATAATATCAAACACATTTAAATTTGAAATCTGTGTCCATCATACACTACAGGATTTTCTCTCAAATCTGTCAACTTTGAATGCCCAAAATCTGCAGACTTTCAGCAACTAGCGTTAACACATCCAGACTGAAAATCGTGGCAGAGGTCGTGTAGTGTATTCCGGTCGCTATCCTACTATAGCGTTAACTAGTTAAGAACAGCACTTTTGTCTGTTTAGAACAAGACATTCGGATAACACTCTTGTTTTTGATCAGGCATTGAGGAAGCAGGATACGATTCTGCAAGAGGATAGGATACACAACAACACAACAATCTAAGAGCAGAGGCTAAATCTAATCAGCCTTGAAATTCAACAAAACACTTTCAAACATATCACCAGCTAAAATATGTTTAATTGAACAAATATCGCTTTGTCCTTTCTTTCTAGTTGCTTCAGTAAGGCGTTAAAGTGATTCTCTAATCTCTACAGCATGCCATTTCATTCCCTCAAGAGTGTCTAAATGTCAGTTACTACACCCACAAGAAATAGATTACCTGTTTTCTTTTTTAGAGAATGACAGTATAATACCCACATCTTATGAAACTCCAACCCACATCCACTTATATTTACCACAGCAGTCTTAAGAAAGCTTCTTAAAGTGAAGAATGTTCAGTGTATTCAAAACACTAAACACAAGGTCTATTGACGTTATTTGTGACAGAATGAAATGATTATTACTAACAGTAATTTAATGTCTTCTACATTTTTAGTAGTGCACTTAGAAGTAAACCAGGCCAACATGCCAGAGGGTTTAAAAGCAGAAATGTGAAGCTTGTATTTTTGTTTAAAGGGATACTCCACTTTTTTTTGGAAATAGTCTCATTTTACAACTCCCCCAGAGTTAAACTGTTGAGTTTTACCGTTTTTGAATCCATTCAGCCGATCTCCGGTTCTGGCGGTACCACTTTTAGCATAGCTTAGCATACATCATTGAAGTGGACAAGACCATTAGCATTTCTCAACAAACAAAAAATGACCAAAGAGTTTCGATATTTTTCCTATTTAAAACTTGACTCTTCTGTAGTTACATTGTGCATTAAGACCGACGGAAAATGTAAAGTTGCGATTTTCTAGGCTGATATAGCTAGGAACTATACTCTCATTCCTGCGTAATAATCAAGAAACTTCACTGCCGTACCATGGAAGCAGCAGGCGCAATGATAAGACGCAGCGCCTGAAAATAGTCCCCAGCTCCGTAGCCTATTTTCAGGCGCTGCGTCATATCATTACGCCTGCTGCTCTCATGGTACGGTAGTAAAGTTTCTTGATTATCTCAATAAATTGGTAAATAATTACAAATATAGTCTATTTAAATACATGACATACAAGTTTCAGTTTACCTTAAATGCTCATAAATAAAAAATAATTATGAAATGACATACAAATTTACTTGTGTCCTATTTAAGTGATCAAAAAAGCACTCTCAAGTTCAGCTAATTGCATTTAATATATTTTAAAACTATATAATACATTTTATGTAATTGCAGTTAACATGCAATTAAGTGTCCTAAAAGCATTACATTACAAAGTATATTATTTCCGTAATAAGTACTCCCCTCTAAAAAGTATGCTAAAGTGTATTTTCACAAGGGACGTCACATCAATTTTGGCCGTTAGCATGCTAAAGTTACCGGGTTTATTAGTGGCTCTATGTAGACACACATATCTACAGTTTTTCTGCAACCGTCAGAAAAGTGACGGTTCTACAGTGTGACATTGAATTGCGAATTTGAAGGGATTTGTTTAACATGAATTGTAGGAGTTTTGTGTAACCATTCCCCCTAAAAATGAATGAAAGTTGTCTGGGCCCCAATTAGAATGGTAAAACTTGAGTCGCATCAGCAGAACTTTGCACTTAACTTGTAAAAAGAAGGTGAAGACAGCTGGCCTCAGCTAAATGACAAGCATCGTGAATACAGCACTGATAAGCCACTTGAGAGAAGGCTCATAAAATATGTCTGCTGCGGACAGCACGC